TGAGAGTGCAATTTTAATGGCGCCATATTTTATCATACTTAAAATAAAGAAACCACAATAAAAATGATAGGATCTGTATTTAAAAAATCATACAGTTATTAGGATGATGTAAATAATATTTACAAGGTAAAATGATTCTAAAAATTTGTTTTCTAACGTTATCAGTAAGTTATAAAAATCTGAAATAAATCTAAGCAGTTCATAATTGCCACTTGTAACAATGATTGGATTTATAAAATCTCTGTGTGTGTATATCAATTGAATCTTGCTTTATGACTGACAAGTGTAACTGCAATATGTACGTTGATTGTATGTACGTTGATTGTGTGACTTCAATGATGATAGGTTGTTAAACAGTGTGATATTGATTGTTTAATTTGATGCAATATCTGATTGGATTAACGTCACGTTCTTGTAAAGTGTCTTGTAACATCTTTTACTTACATCATGTACTTCAAACAATAAATTATCAGTTTCTTTACTATCATTAAAAATGACCAATTACTTTATATATTTTTAAACAAGTCCTCCACATTTGTTACGGTAACTACTTAAAATATATAAAAAAATATTTACAGAATTATTAATTTATCAGATGACGTCATGAACTACCCTTAACAGTGATGTACTCGAAACTATTACACAGTGTTTTTTTCTGTTTAGTTCTAGCAGCGTTTATATGTAACTCGCCAACGACTGAAGCTTTGTTTATTTCAAGTTTTATGTCATTTTTATCTACACCTTGGTGAATCCATTAAACGAAACTTTTTATCATCGAGAAACTCGTTGTTAACATTCTGACAACAATCTTGTGGAGGATCTCCACCAGGGATAAAGCATTGCGAACGCAAATTGTGACGTTGTACCTTGGCAGCAGACACGCCCACGCTTTTAAGACGACCTTGCGAAGATACGTTATCGAACGCAGTGGAGTGTAAGCATTTTGTCATAGGGAAAAAAGTAGACCAATTGTTGATTATCTCTCTACGCTTGTCATCGTTTTTCTCGCATTAGTTACGCTCTTCAAGTTCACCAGGTTCGATTAGTGTACGCCTCATAAATACCAATTATTGCTCTTGTAATTGCCTTACGAATATTGAATATTAACGATCGTTTTACTTTATACAGTTATGGTACAAACAGTCCTTGTTATCAATTTAAGAAGAAACAATACATTAAAGAATATTAAAAAATGTATTAACATTATACTTGTATTAAATGATATTGCTTAACAATGCCTTAAGATGATTTTATTTTGACGTTGTTATTCATTGACATTCTTTTAAGAACACCTTAAGATGATTTTATTTTGACGTTGCAATTAATTGACATTTTTTAACAACGTCTTAAGATGATTTTATTTTAACATTGTTATTAATTGATATTTTTTTAACAACGCCTTAAGATGATTTTATTTTGACATTTTTATTAATTAACATTCTTTTGACAATACCTTAAAATAATTTTATTTTGACATTGTCATTAATTGTCATTTTTTTAACAACACCTTAAAATAATTTTACTTTGACATTGTTATTAATTGATATTCTTCCCAAGAATTACAGCTATGATTTAAAATAAAAAAATATTATATGACAGAATACTGAAAACCACATTGAGATGAAGAATATTAAAAACAATGTTAATATTACACTTCTGTTAATAATACTGTTTTATAATGTTCAAAGATGACTGCACTCTGATACTGTTATTAAATGGCGTCTGTACAGATAACTCAAACCATGAATTTAAAAGTAGTAACAAGTATATGATCCTTTGAACATGGTTAATTTTTATTAATATACAAAATGTATATATTCTTTAACTAATATGTAAAATATATATTATATACTGTTTTACTAATATATATCTTTGTGAGACATTATATATTTGTGTGAGGTATTGTTCATTGAATGTTAACCTAACATTCGAAGTAAATGAATAATAATTATTAGTAAATCAATAATTATCTCCTTAAGCAAGTAACCTAAACTAGCCAAGAAGTGTACAGAAGAATTATCGTAAATAAAGTGATTATTTCATCTGCAAGGTAATACAGAATTTATTAGAAAAATGGCGGACCTCCCGCCGCTCCATGGTAATACAAGAGTCCACTGTAATTTGTAATTTATTCAAACGAACGTTCCACGAAAGCAATTTTTTCTGAAACAACTTCAAGTCCAATACATTAGTAGCAATCGGTAGACTGTCCTCTAGCAAACTATGTTATATATTCTTTTTTACTATATTGTTTTCTTTAAAACAAACGACGATGCTGAAACTGCAATTTTCCTTGAATGGAAGTAATACACGTGCAATCATGTTAAGGTCACATTTAATAAGCTTGCATCTTCGACAGTTTATTGAAACAACATCCTACGTTATGAATGAATGAAAACAAACACGATACACGCTTCTTTTTCTGTATGTTAACAAGAACGACTGTTTCCTTAAAAAAGTAAAAAAGTTGGAACAGCTTTTGAAAGTGGAACGACGGTTTTTGTTGTTTGACGTAACTGTACTCGTTAATCGTGCGACATAAAATTAAAATCGCTCTGGAAAATTAGAAATTATTTATTGAAGCATAAAACTTGTGTGACGTGAGAGATAAATTTTAATTGGGGAGGATGGAAATGTGCTCGATTCTCGGTCGTCGAATTATTCGTATCGAAAGTTGGGAATAAATGTCGAGTAATTAATTCACAATTAGCCGGTTGGGTCGATTGATTCGATAATTTGCTTGCAGTTTTGAGGTGATATTAATGGGTTTTGGGAGAGAGAGGTTAATGTTTATTGTATGGGGATTTGGAGATTTGATGGTTTGGGAATTTGGGGATTTAGGGATTTGGAAGTTTGCGAAATTGGGGATTTTGGAATTTTGGAATTTGGAGATTTGGGGGTTTGAGAATTTTGGTATTTGACAATTTGGGGATTTGGGAATTTGGGGAATGTGGAATTGGAAGATTTGGTAATTTGGGGACGTGGGAATTTGGGGATGATAGAATTGGGAGATTTGACAATTTGGGGGTTTGGGAATTTGGGAATGATGGAATTTGGGGGTTTGAGAATTTTGGGGTTTGGTAATTTGGGGGCTTGGGAATTTGGGGATGATGGAATTTGGGGGTTTGAGAATTTGGGAGTGATGGAATTTGAGGGTTTGGGAATTTGGGAATGATGGAATTTTGGGTTTGGGAATTTGGGGATGATGGAATTGGGAGATTTGACAATTTGGGGACGTGGGAATTTGGGGATTTTAGAATTGGAAGATTTGATAATTTGGAGGCTTGGGAATTTGGGGATGATGGAATTTGGGGGTTTGGGAATTTGGGGACAACGGAATTGAGAGATTTGACAACTTGGGGGCGTGAGAATTTGGGGATTTTAGAATTGGAAGATTTAACAATTTGGGGGCTTGGGAATTTGGGGGTTTGAGAATTTGGGAGTGATGGAATTTGGGGGTTTGGGAATTTGGAAATGATGGAATTAGGAGATTTGATAATTTGGGGGTTTGGGAATTTGGGAATGATGGAATTTGGGGGTTTGAGAATTTTGGGGTTTGGTAATTTGTGGACTTCACGATTTAGAAGTTTGAGAATTTGGAATTTTTAGAATTTGAAGACTTACCAAGCTCACAAATTTAAGACCTTAGGAATTTTTACTATTTAACGCTTTGATGAAGTCTACGAGTTTGAATATAAAATTTTAAATATTAAAAGATTTGAAAACTAGCAAATTAAGAAATGTACAAATTTCCAAATTTATTAGGACGATTCTTCATTGAAATAACATATCATAATTTCCAACAACGTGTATCAGTGCAACGTCGAAGACGCAATTCTCCTTCAGCCGCTTCGACTGAAGACCACGTTGCATTCCGCGTTGTGAAAGAAGAAAATAACCGAATCTTTCCGGTCAGAACCGATTTCTCTGCAACATCTTCGTGTGAGTAATTTTTTTCGATTAGCGGATAATTCTCAAGTAGAAGTATGACTTCATCGTTTGAATCGTCAACATGAATCTTTCCTTTAATGTAAAATGAACAATTTCACATATTGCTATTAATAAAATTTCCTGCATTCCATTGAAGACATAATTCACAAATTATATCCATTTTTATCGAAAACAAATATGGCGAACAAACAACAGCTGTATTACAAAATCAATGGCATACAAAATATTTTTAATCGTTTATTTCTGTCGAACTGATTTTTTATATATTAAATAAATTACGTAGAATTTTTTGAAGGTAAAACTTTTGTCGTTGTAAAAGAAACTTGATTGTTTGAGATAATATGAATTGAGTCTATCTCGAGTAATCAAATCGTGGATAATGTGGAAAAAAACGTTACTGCTTTTCCGTCACGTGTGTCAGATTTTTCTGCGATATCCGTGGCCAATTATGAGAATGAAATGGCAGCGATTTTTGTCACAAAATGGAGACCGTAACGTCAGTTCGGGACTGCGAATATCACTGCGTCCTCCAAGATGATTTATTGAATTAAAAAAATAAATAGTTTCTTATATAAGGTTTTCATATTGCACAGTGACTTCCGTTCTAATCTTGTTGCAATTATACAGCATATTAATACCATAATTATGATTTTGAGTTGCCTGTATAACTCATTCTTTTAGTAATACTAATTTATAGTAACTCTATAATAAAATTCTCAAACGTTTTACAAATTTATCTTATCTCGTTTGCATCACAATGTAGTAACATCTTGTTGTAGTATATATTAAATACAAAAAATAATTATCTTAAAGTAAACGAATATGCAAAATAAATAACGGCTGCAAAAATTATTTCTTGTAAGAAGTATTAAAAAGTAGGAAATTTAAAACGCTAGCAATTTATTAAAAAAAATAAGCTATACTTTCTACACTTACGCCAGAAATTTGCCAAAATCTAAAAACATTTATCAAGCATCTAAAAAAAGAACATTTAACGAAAGAATAATCGACAATTGAATCGTCAATTTATTCCGATTAACAATGCTCACCAACGTTATCCTCCGTAAGAAGTCGCAAGCTAGATCGCAGTAGCATTTCTAAAACTTCGGCTATCACTCCCACGATCAGTTCGTATAATGAAAAAAAATCTGTGAATCACTCGCGACAGCGAACACATTAATAATCACGCGGAAACAGGCTGAAACGGTACTAAATGACCGCTCATAAATTATTGTACTGGTTAATCGACGCGCTTATTTCAAACTTCATGAGTTCAATTGTCGAGACACACGTCACCAATTAAAAAGCAATTGTTTGGCTTCATTGGTCGCCACGAATGTATTACTGGACAATGAAAGATGTCGTAAGACATGCTCGATTATTTTACCGGATAAAACTGATACGGACCAGTTCATTATCGTTTGAAAGTCAGAAGTATCGTACATGATCGTGGAACAACACTTTTTATACTCTAGGATGTATTTTCTTTGTGTTCGCTTTTTTATATTTTTTTTTGGATGTGGAAAATATTTTTTAGTTTGTGGTATAAGTGGGATTTTTATTTGGGGGATGGTCGGTTCTAATTATAATTTTATATTACCACACGGAGTATGGTTATGTGTTAGATTACTACGCGTTTGATTTCCACACGTTGGATTACTGTACGCTAGATTTCCACACACATCGTATTTCCACGCGTAGTACTTCCACGCGTCGTATTTCTACGCGTAGTATTCCCACGCGTCGAATATCTGCGCATAGTACTTCCACGCGTCGTATTTCTACGCGTAGTACTTCCATGCGTCGAATATCTGCGCATAGTACTCCCACGCGTCGTATTTCTACGCGTAGTACTTCCACGCGTCGAATATCTGCGCACAGTATTCCCACGCGTCGTATTTCTACGCGTAGTATTCCCACGCGTCGAATATCT